AACCAACATGGCACATGTATACCTATGTAACAAACCTGCACATTGTGCATATGTACCCCAGAACTTAAAGTATAATTTTAAAAAAGAAAGAAAGAAAGAAGAAAGAAAGAAAAGAAAGAAAGAAAGAAAGAAAGAAAGAAAGAAAGAAAGAAAGAAAGAAAGAAAGAAAGAAGAAAGAAAGAAAAGAAAGAAAGAAAGAAAGAAAGAAAGAAAGAAAGAAAGAAAGAAAGAAAGAAAGAAAGAAAGAAAGAAAGAAAGAAAGAAAGAAAGAAAGAAAGAAAATGATGCTCTTCTGAGGCTGGAGAACTTGAGAACACTCAGGTAATGCTCTGAGGAAAGACGACTAGTCATCCCTAATGTCCACTCTCTTTGTCTCTCTCATGGTAATGGAACTCTCAATTTTTAGCTGAGAAGTGACTACCTAGAATCTTGACTGCACTGCACAGCCTCCTTTGTAACTAGGTGTGGCCATGGGACACAACTCCGGCCAATGGAACACAAGTGGAAATAACAGGCAATGTTTAAAGCATTCCTTTCAAAAGAAAGGTTGTGCCCTTCCCTTCCCCTGTGGCCCTTTCTATGGGCTGGAAGGTGGACATAGCAGTAAGCCATCTTAGCCCAGACAAACAGACACGGAGGGGTGGCTCAGTAACCAGACAGGAGGACGTGGTTTCTGACAACGTGGAGCCACCCTATCAACCCACTGCCTCCAACTGGACCTGCATGAGAGGGAAATGAACTTCAGTCTCATTTTAGCCACTATTTCTTTAAGATTCTGTGTAACTTAAACATATGTATTGGCCAGGTACAGTGGTTCACACCCATAACTCCAGCACTTTGAGAGGCTGAGGTGGGAGGATCCCTGGAGGCCAGGATTTCAAGACTAGCCTGGGCAACACCATGAAACCCTGCCTCTACAAAAAATAAAAACTTAAAAATTAGCCTGGCATGGTGTTGTGCACCTGTGGTCCCAGCTGCTCAGAAGACTGAGTGGCAGGATATCTTGAATCCAGGAGTCAGAGTCTTCAGTGAGCAACGAGCAATGATTGAACCGCTACACTCCAGTCTGGGTGACAAAGCGAGACTCTCTCTCTCTTTCTCTCTCTCTCTCTCTACACACACACACACACACATAATATATATAAATATATAAAAAATATATAATATATACATAATATATAAATATATATTATATATGTGTGTATATGTATATATAGATACACACACACACATATATATAGACAGAGATATATAAAGATACACACACATACACACACACACATATATCCAATTCTGAAACTGGGAGCCTGAAAGTCATTTAAGGAAGATGGACCCAGACAATTATTGGTCATCGTAGTGCCCTACAGTCAACAAATATGTAAGTACTCTAAAGATGCAGCGCTATCACAACAGACATTCAAAAAATGCTGTCCTCGTAGAGCGTACATTTAATATAATTTCATTTCTTCTTGATTACCACTTTGTCAGGGAATATTACCTTGCATCTTAGACACCAGGAAATTAAGCTGTAGAGATTTCCCATGATTAGTTTGAAGTGAGTCAGTTGGTGAGTCAGACATCAGAGATTCAAGCCAGGTTGGCTGGTGGCAGAGCTAGAACCTCCCCACTGGTCCAGTGGCCTCCAAAGCATGCCCTCTAGAGAGGCCTGTCATAGCCATCGTGGATGGGGACTGTGACCATGAGGAATCAAGAGGAAGGATTTTTTTTTTTTTTGAAACAGAGTCTCGCTGTGTCACCCAGGCTGGAGTGTAGTGGCATGATCTCAGCTCACTGCAACCTCTGCCTTCTGGGTTCAAGAGACTCTCTTGCCTCAGCCTCCCAAGTAGCTGGGATTACACGCATGCGCCATGAAGCCCGGTTAATTTTTTTTTTTTTTTTTTTTTTTTTTCTGATGAGCCAAAGAAAGACCCTGGACTAGCTAAGAGAGAGGCCCAAGGATACCTGAAGGCCGGGGAGGAGGGACAACCACTTGTTGGGGTGAACCAATAGCAGAGACTCAGCAGGGCAGAGGCCAAGGCTGAGGACGCCCCCACAGAGAGACACAGAGAGAGCCTGAGGACAAGGGGTTCCTCACAACACCTGTGCTCCCCGAAAGCTCCCCTCCTCACCCCTCTCTAGGTGCCCTACTCTCTGGGGTTGGTGAAGTGGTGCCCAAAATGCAATTGATCTACAGAAAAATAGAGTCCTGTATTTTAAAAATTTATCTAGGTTTGTATATGGACATTCACATCACATAGACAGACACACACGCAGCCACTAACACACACACACACAGAGACACCAAAGAAAAGTGCCTTAGAAATACACCAAAATGTGGCCGGGCGCGGTGGCTCATGCCTGTAATCCCAGCACTTTGGGAGGCTGAGGAGGGCGGATCACGAGGTCAGGAGTTCGAGACCAGCCTGACCAACATGGTGAAACCCCGTCTCTACTAAAAATACAAAAATAGCAGGACATGGTGGTGTGTGCCTGTAATCCCACCTACTCAGGAGACTGAGACAGAAGAATTGCTTAAACCCAGGAGGCAGAGGTTACAGTGAGCTGAGATCACACCACTGCACTCCAGCCTGGGTGACACAGCAAGACTCCATCTCAAAATAAAAATAAAAAATAAAAAGAAATAAAAAAGAAATACACCAAAATGTTAGCTGGGGTCCTCTCCAGGTAGTAAAGTGCTGGGGGATGTTTTCCAAAGTCTTTCTTTATATTCTCTGAGTTTTTCCATGTTCTTTAATGAGTATTTAAAAAGCAGATAAAAACTAATACGACAAAGGATTTGTGTGTGTGTGTGTTTGACGTTTTAAGGAAGAGATTAGAGCTATTCCCATAACCAGGTTATTTGAGTGGGTCTAACAAGCCAGTGTTACCAGAAATTATCATCTGGTCATTTCCAGTCTGAGAACAGAACACTTGGTTGTCCTGGCATTTCTCAAGCAGGGGGAGGAGTTCTCTGCAGGAATAAATAAGCCTCAGCATTCATGAAAATCCACCACTCCAGACAGACGGCTTTGGTATCCACCAGCTACATCCAGCTCCCTGAGGCAGGTAATCCATGATGTTCTACATCCTGGGAGCGGAGGAATCTGTCTTTCCAGGAGAGTTTTAGGGCAGCCTGGAGCGTGCGGAGTGTGAGGGGTGAGCCGAGGCCAGGAGGGGGTGTGCTCAGGTGTTAGGGGCCAGGGGACTGCTCTGGGCTGCCGCTGATTCCCTGTGCCTTTTTTAGAGGCATCCTCTGTGTCTGGGTTTTCACACCTGCAAAGGGCGGAGGTGCCCTGGGGCCTCTATGGTCATTTCTGCCTTGATACGTACAGATTCTGGTTCGAGTCCGCTGTGCATCTGGCCCTCAGGGAGGAGGTGCTGTCCTCTTGCCTGGAGCAGGGTGCAGCTCTCAGAACATGCGGCAGATGTGACTATTGCACTGGGTCCCTCTGAGCAGAGGCCACAGGCCTCACGGTGATTTCAGGGTCTCCATGGGGCTGCCTCGGGGGCTCCACTTCCCCAGAAGGACCCCTGGCCAAGTCGACAGATGGGCTGTGTCCCTGGCCAGCAACAGAAAAGACAAACTGCTGGGAAACAGCCAGTCCTCCAACTTGCCCAAAGTCTTTACCCCTGAAATAATTCTGGAGAAAAATATTGTCTAACATTTATCCAGAGAAATGGTTGCATCAGCCTGAGAGTAAACAGTTGAAGCAAACAAGCTACCTCTGTCCCTGGGCTTGGCCAAAGGCATTTCCACTGGCCTCCCCTCCTTCCCCTCCTTCCCCTCTCTCTTGCCCTCTTCTTTTTCTCCTCCTCTCACTACCTCTCTCCCCTCCTCTCCCTTCCACTCCCCTCTCTTCCCTGCTCTTCTCCCCAGCACCCAAGCCGCTGCTTTTCTCTTCTGAATTCTAGGACTGAGTGGGCGGAGGCTGAAGGTGAATAATCTTGTTTGCTGCAGCCACCAGCTTGGAACTCAGCCCTTCCAGGGGATCTTGTGTAGTAGCTCATGGCTCTTCTCTGGCTTGTAGTTTCAGGCATGGGGTAGTATGGGAGGTTGTGACTCCCGGTACATCTAGTATGAACCAGGTGCCTTCATCATTTATCTCACCTGAGCCACTTAACATGTTGTGCAGAGATGGAAACAGGTTCAGAGAGGTTCAGTCACCTGCTTGCCACTACGCAGCAATCAGAATTGGCCAAAATGAAATGCCAGTCCAAGTCTGGGAGAATCCAAATCCCTCTCTGCCTTCTCCCCACTAGGAGGCCCTTCCAGGCTTATGGTGGACACAGATGCCATGTTGCAACCTGGCAGGGGCAGAAAAGAACGTTAGCCTTTCTTTGGTCTTGATGCCGACCATTATCAGGGCCATCTAGGCTCCAGACATTATACCGGGCACTTTCATTTCCCTCTCTCAGTCAATTCTCCCTGCAACCCAGCATCACACTGTGGGGGCCTGCGGAGGCCACACCACGTGTCATCTAGAGGCTGGGAGAGTCACTGTGGCCTCTGACTCTGTCCAGGGCTCCTTCATCCCTGGGTTGTACTTTGGTGGCAGTTAGGGGACTAGGGGAAGGGACCTCTGCTTTCTAATCCCCTAGGATGAGATCTGCTCACCAAGCAGGAGGAGAGGAGCAGGCATTCTGGTTGGACTGAACCTCGGACCCCCCATCAGCTTCCAGACCGAGGAGCCAGGAAAACCTGGCTGCCCACTGGACTCCTTTACCTGTTCGCTGTATGGCCTTGGGCAAGCCCCCTCACCGCTCTGTGCCCAGTTTTTCCACTGGAAAAAAATGGCAACAATTATGGCACTTACCTCAAAGGATGAAAGGAAGCACAGTGATGCATGTCGGGGACCCCAGAGAGCACCCACCTGAGGGAGGTTCCAAAGCTAGCAAGAGGCAGCAGAACAGGGACCAGGACACAGGCCGGGTGGGGGGCAGTGGGAGGTGGTCAGGGCTCCATCTGGCCCTCTGAGACTTAAAGGATCTTTGCTTTGCAGAGTTGAAAATGGAGAGAATGTTACCTCTCCTGGCTCTGGGGCTTTTGGTGGCTGGGTTCTGCCCTGCTGTCCTCTGCCACCCTAACTGCCCACTTGACAAGGAGAATCCGACCCAGGAGGATCAAGACCGGGGGACACATGTGGACCTCGGATTAGCCTCCACCAACGTGGACTTCGCTTTCAGCCTGTACAAGCAGTTGGTCCTGAAGGCCCCTGATAAGAATGTCATCTTCTCCCCGCTGAGCATCTCCACCGCCTTGGCCTTCCTGTCTCTGGGGGCCCATAATACCACCCTGATGGAGATTCTCAGAGGCCTCAAGTTCAACCTCACGGAGACTTCTGAGGCAGAAATTCACCAGAGCTTCCAGCACCTCCTGCGCACCCTCAACCAGTCCAGCGACGGGCTGCAGCTGAGTATGGGAAATGCCATGTTCATCGAAGAGCAGCTCAGTCTGCTGGACAGGTTCATGGAGGATGCCAAGAGGCTGTATGGCTCCGAAGCCTTTGCCACTGACTTTCAGGACTCAGCTGTGGCTAAGAAGTTCATCAATGACTACGTGAAGAACAGAACCAGGGGGAAAATCACAGATCTGATCGAGGACCTTGACTCGCAGACAGTGATGGTCCTGGTGAATTACATCTTCTTTAAAGGTGAGTGCCTGGCTTGGGGTTCAGAAGAGGTGGATGTTTAGTTTCGAGCCTCAAGGCTATTTCTGTCCTGACTCAACAACAGTGTTATTAGGCAAACCACTGTAGAGGAGAGTGCCCACGGCGTGGGGGCAGCATGGGCATCAAGGCCCCGCCCTGCCCATAGGCATCGCCATCTCCTGTGGGGTTTTTCCAAATTACGGTTTGTCCTTCCAAGACATAACTCAGTGGGGACCATCAGCCCTTGGTCTGAGTCAGTGTGGTGCTTTTCACTCTGATTTATACTTGTCCAGCAGACAGAAAGAAGGAGCTCTCCTTTCAAACCACTCCAGGGCGCACAGGAGCTACAGCTCCCTCCTTGCAGGGGCGCTGCTAGACTGGGCCAGGAAGCCCCTCTGTCTGGAGGCACCTGCGGCTTCTACCCTGCACATGCGGGAGGCGGTGGTCCAGCCAGGGGCCTTGGTGTCTGGAGGCAGGCAGGTGGGGCTAGGGCCAGCTTCACAGGGGAAGATAATCATCAAGGAGCCTGGCCACTTCCAAGGTTCTACGATTCTGTTCTGCTATCATCTTTAACTATTTTTAAAAATGTGTCATTGACACATAACAAATGAGGGCAGAAATGGCATTGTTCCCATCTGGGGAAGAGTCTGAAGGGTGGGCAGTATCCAAGACATGACCCTTTGCCAGACTCTAACTGGTCCGGAGCCCAATCCCATTGATAGAAACTCAACCAATGCAAACCTCAGCCTAGCAAGCTCCGGAGGGGCAGAGCGCAAGCAGATAGCTTCTGCCTCCTGGAACCCGCAGTCCAGATGGGGACAAAAAAAAAAAAAGATAGGGACACAAAGAGTGATCATTGAGCCAGAGGGTGGAAAGGTGCTTAGGAGACATGAGCTGCTTGGAGGCAGAGTCCTGCTTGGGGGCTGTGGGTTGATTCCTGGGCAAGCCGCTTCCTCTCCCGGGCCTGGGTTTTCATCTGTAAGTGAATGCGTGGATCCAGATCTCCCTCTAAGACTACTCCATTCCTCACATGACATTTGTTCTTTGAGTTTCCCGTGTTCTCCCCTCCTACCACCTAGCCCTGTGCTAGGACTCTCCCCTCCAGGACACAGTAGCCAGCCCAGCTTTCCCTCCCCACCTGCCTCTGCCAATGGGAAACAGGCAGGTGGTAAACAGGTGGGCAGTGGAGCTGGCCCCATGTCTCCACCCTCCCCTGAAATCTCCCACTCTCCTCATTGTTCAGTGCTCTGGTCCTCCTGGAGTGGAGACCTGCAGGGCCCCTCCCCTTCCTCTGTTGACCTCTCCTCACTCTCCAGGTGCCAGTTTTGCTCCCTGCCTCAGCCTGGTTTACATACAGTGTATATGATGGGGTTTGGTCACTGCTGGGGCCGCCCTGTGGCAGGTGGAGGGGGCTGAGCATGCATGAGCTTCAGGCTGAGACAGTCCCAGCTCAGAACCCTGGAGTGCTTGTTCCCTCCCTTTCTGCTCTTCCTCTTCCACTGCACCCACTGGACCCGCGAGCATGTGAGGATTGACTCACCCAATGATGCTAGAACTATGTATTCAACTGAAAGTAAGGGAGAGGGGGCATCCAACCAGGGGCAGAAGATGGGAATTCAAGAAAGGAAGGTTTCCACTAGAAAACTGTTTTCTTCTTTTCTCTTAAATCCAGATAGAAAAGGAAGGGAAGGCCATTACAGAAGAGATAAGTCGAGTCAAGCAAAGATCGGATACTGAAGACACTAGTCTAACCAGACATTCGGGCCCTCAGTTGAATAGTTGAGGATGTCAGAAGATGTTAAGGAGGCAGAATCAGAAAACTTGGTGACTGGCAGACAGAAATGGGGGGAGATGGGGCCAGATGTGAGAAGATTTAAAGGCTTGTAGAGCCTGGGTGGTGACTTCATCCAGCAAACCTATCCCTCTCCCCATTCTGGCATACAAGGCAGCAGTCGGGGTCCCCACAGGGAGCCCATCTTCCTGGCAGGGACCCATGCTGGAGATCTGCCCAGCTGAAAGATTCCAGAGGAACTCGGTGCCCTGGGTAATATGAGAAGGTGCTCCATGGTACTGCCCTCACATGGAGGCCACAGAAGCACCTGAATGGCTGCTGCAATTGGTGACAGGGACATCTGTTCAACTGAAATATCTCCTACCCTGAGATGGGTCCTTGCTCCGAGGGGTCTTTATGATTAGATTTGTCCCCAGTCATTCCATGTTGGGAGGTTGCAGGGACCAGAGAAGCTGAGATGGTCTTTGGGGAGGGGGAAGGAAAGATGGACTGTTATTTTGGTCCTGAAAGTCCAAAGGTGGGGAAGTGTCAAGAAGGAAGATGAGGGCACAAGAGAATGTAAGCCCAGAAGCTGGCTCTCATTGCAATTACGGAAAGGAAAACCAAAATAAAGAAAGAAAGGGAAGAAGTTCCCATTTATTGAGCACCTACTCTCACCAGCCATACACATGCAATACCTCATTTAATCCTTGTAGCAGCCCTGAAAGGTGGATGGTGGTGTTGCCATTTGTTAGGTAGGAGACATGAAGTCCAGAAAAGCAAATAATTAAACATTCAAAATTGACCTGGGCACATTTGAAAATTCCTTTTTCTGCCTCATTTTAGCCCCTAATGTAAAGCCATTTGTGACTTTATCAGCTTTTACCAAGCACCTCCCAAAACCAAGAATGGAGGTGACAGATTGTGGAGCCTACAACCTAGAGAAAGAATTGACAATTTTTTTCTATAAAGGAAAAGTAGTAAATATTTTAGTAGCAGTAGTAGTAAGTATTTTAGTAAGTAAGTATTTTAGGCTGTGTGGTCCACATGAGATCCCTTTTGCAGATTCTTCTTTTCATCTTCCTCCTCTGCTTCTTCTTCATCTTCTCTTTCCTCTTCATTTTTTTACAACCTTTAAAAAATATAAGCACCATTCTTAGCTTTAGGTACACACAGAAATAAGCCAAGGCTGTATTGGCTTACAGGCTATAGTTTCCTGACCCCTGTTCTAAAGGAGGAAAATAATTGTACCCAACTAAATTCATGCAAATCATGGGCCTATGTCGTAATTCCCAAAGAATGAGTTTCATGGAATTTTCAACATTTTAAATATATTACTCCATTGTTCCCTTGCTTGCATAGTTTCTGATGAGAAGTCTTCTGTCATTTTCATCGTTATTCCTTTTTAGATAAGGTGGAGTTTTCCTCCCTCTGCCCCTACCTCTACCTCTTTCAAGATTTTCTCTTTCTCTTTACTGTGGTAAATAGGCCTTTAGTGAGAGGAATTATGTCAGTCTGGCTAGAAGTCAGACTGCATTTCATGTTTGTGATAGCTAGAGGTGCCAGAGGCAGTTTCATGGAATTTTACCTTTGCAACACTGAAAACCTAGGCAGCCTCAGAGTTAGAATACCCACAATTGAATCCTCGGCCAGACAGACACCAAATCCAGGGCAAGTCTTAGCTGGATGTTCATGGTCTGTAGAGGTGGACATAAGCTAGATATGAGCTGAGAACCATAGCCAGCTCATGGCTTTTGTGATGTCCAAAACCCCCACCCCCTAAGATGTCACAAATGTCCCTAGGCTTTTATTCCCATGGTCTCTCCTGGCTCTGAGTTCTATCTTCCACTAAGGTTCTCCCTGTTCCTCCCCTCATTCACACTGATCAGCGTCTCTTTTGTCTGCCCTCACCAACTCACATACAGAACCCAGTCTCTTTCCTTCTATTTCTGCCCAAAGCCCTCCCACAAACCACTGTTATATGTTCACATCCCTGTAATGCCAGTGAGTAACAATTGCTAATGAAACCTTTTTCCTATTAAGAAACCAAGGCTGTCCCATTTCTTCTCAGGCACCAGCCTCCCAAGTGTTGTCATGCCTCTTTCCCTCACTTTCCCTAAACCTTCTCTCTCTCTCTTGCACTCCTTATTCCCAGATTCCTATTGATTTCTCATTTAGCACAAGAAACTAGGTCTTTCTTTCATGGCTCTTTTCCGAATCCAAGCCTGCTGGGCTCTCCCTCACCCCCAATAACTTTTACTATTGCCAAGCTACTTCTCTAAACCAAAGCAGGGTCACTTCTGTGAGGGACTCTGGGCACTTCCACTGCTGGGGAAGCAGAGTCAAGGCAGGGTGACCCTTGTACTCATACGTTCTCCAACTGCTTGCTCCACCTTCAGCCAAATGGAAGATGCCCTTTGACCCCCATGATACTCATGATTCAAGGTTCTACTGGAGCAAGAGAAGGTGGGTAAAGGTGCCCATGATGAGTTTGCAGCACGTGACTACACCTTACTTCCGGGATGAGGAGCTGTCCTGCACCGTAGTGGAGCTGAAGTACATAGGCAATGCTAGCGCACTCTTCATCCTCCCTGATCAAGACAAGATGGAGGAAGTGGAAGCCATGCTGCTCCCAGAGACCCTGAAGCGGTGGAAAGACTCACTGGAGTTCAGGTGATTCTTCCTGGCCCCCCAAGACCCCACATCTCTCCAACTCAAGGTCTCACCAATGTCCAGGGACAAGGGCATGGTGGTGGGAGAACTCGTACAGGGACAGGTGGAATTTACACTTACTTTGCCCTGTGCTGCCTGGGTGGCTTCGGGCTTGATTTTTTATTTTTTCTTCTTTAAGATGATGACATCAGACAGGACAAGGGGCTGAGGCTTCCTCTGACTCCAGCATGTTCTAAGTCATGAGAAATCTTTTGCACAGTCCCAAACACTCATGCATGGTCTCTCCTGGTCTCAATCTCTTGAAGGGAGAGAGAAACAGAAGGAATTGTGATCAGTTGAGGGCTGTGGTGAGATGGACACTGAGAATCTGCTCTGCACTGGTGAACCACTATATTTATTCATTTGCTCAGCATTTGCTGCATGATTAACTGAGCACCTACTATGTGTCAGACACTAATTTGCACCGTGAGAGTAAATCAGTACATAAAACACAAGATTTCCTGCCCTCTTGGAACTTACTTTGTAGTAGGAGAGGAGAGAGGCAATAAATAAATATAACAAATAAGTTGTGTGATATGTTAGAAGGCGAGAAATTGAGTAGGGGGATAGAAACTGAGTAGAGGAGGATGAAAGGATCAGGAAAACTGGAACTTGTGTTAGCTTGTGATTTTAAATAGAGTGGCCATTAGGTGATGTCTGAGCATCCATATAACAGAGGGGAAGGGTGGAGTAGTGTTGGTATATCAGGGAAAGGCATTCCTGGCAGAGGGAACAGTCAGTGCAAAGCCTCTGAGGTGGAAGTGAGCTTGATATGTTCAAGGAAGAGCGAGGCCAGAGTGGCTGGAGCAAAGCAAGTGAGAAGAGAGTTGAGAGAAGTCAGGAATCCCCAAAGGGGTGGAGCAGCTTATGTAGGGCCACGTAGACCCCTAGAAAACTTTGTCCTTCCTCCTCTCTGTGAAATGGAGAGCCATGAGGGGTTTGGAGGAGTGCGGCAAGCTGAGTGTTGTTTTAAAAGACGAACTCTGGCTGCTGAGAGGAGAATAACTATAGAGCAGGTGTGGAGTCGTTGACACCTGCAGGAACCAGACACAGACATGAGGTGGGAACCCACTGTGGCTGGGACCCAGGAGGGAGCCATGCATGTGAGAAGTGGTTGCATTCCAGATAAACTTGAGGGTAGAAGAACAGACTGGGGCACATGGAATTGAGCTGACCGATTTCATGGGGACACAGTGAGGTGGAGCAGTAGTTCCGGGCCCAGACCCTGCAGTGGGCCCAGGGAGTGCATGTGGGCAACTGTGCGGGGTAGGGAGGGAGGAGCACCAGCCTTGGGTTCAGACCGTGGTGGCTGGTGTGACCTGGAGCAGGTCATTGCTCTTCTCTGGAGCTCAGCTATCTCCTGAATAGAGAGAAGTGTCCTTTCCCCACCACCCCTGTTTTCACTAGGTGATTATGAGAATCCAGTGAGATATTGTATGTGGAAACTGTAATAAACCACCAAGGGTGAGGAAGCTGCTTCAACACAAACTGAGGCTGCAGCCCCTGCCCCAACTACTGTCCAGAGGGCTGGAAACCTCTCGGGATTGTCTGACCCTTAGCCCCTCCTCACTCTAGATCCCAGGAGACCCCAGAACATGGGAGTCCTACCCAACCCATCCATTTACTCCCAGACTCCTTCCTCCTTTAGCACCAGGGAGCGGGGCTCAGCAAATAGTTTCGAATGGCAAGAATTCTCCAAACACTTTAGATTTACAAAATGCTTAGATTTATAAAATGCTGTGGTCCACACACTCCTGGCCCACAGAGAATGCTCACTAGATATTTGCTGCATGAAGGAGGGAATGAAGGGACACACACATGAATGAGTGAATAAAAATAGAAATAGGACACCTTCCTCCTTCATGGGACTTAGAGTCTAATGGAAGACACAGCCTCCTGTATAATTGTAAGACCAGGCAGTCAGTGACAGGTGTCTTAAGAGGGCTATAAGCTAAGGGAGGGGGAGCTCGCAGGTGGGAGGTGTGACTTGGGCCTCTAACAGCTTGTTGCCTGCTCTATGCCAGTCCACACCTGGCTTGAGGGACAGTGCCCACCGGCAAGGCAAGATGGGAACCTCCAACTGATGGTTTCAGGGTCCCCAAAGCTCTTCCAATACAATCAGACTCCTCAGAGGCCCCCAGGCCCTTTTTGACCTGCCTCTGGCTCCTGCCCCACCTCATCCCTCACTATCCCTCTCCCTGAGACACTGAGGTCACCCACCACCCTGTGGAGCAACTCCTCCTGCTCCCACCTTCTTCCAGGTTCTTCCACCTGCCTCCTGCCCACCTCTTCACCTAGCTAGCTCCTTTCCCACCTTTGGGACTCAGCCTCAATGCCACCTCCTACAGGAAGCCTTCCTGGTGCTCCTGTGAAGCAAACTGCCATGCAGCCAGTGCAGCTAACCTGGTCCAGGCTCTCAACACAATCAGGAGTCCCTGCTGGTGTGAAGGTGCTTCAACCGCATTGCAAACTGCAGGGAAAGGGCAGGACCAGGCTTGAGCAGGGCCACAACTCCAGACTTGGTGTGCTGCCTAGAGCCTTTCACACTTGCAGATCTGAATGAATAATTAATGAACAAGAAGAGTAAAGACAGGGGTTAAGAAATTGAGGAACAGATGATCTATTTCCAGTCAGAAGGGGGGTGACTGTAGAGGAAACCAGGGAAGACCATGCTGCGAGATGGGAGGCAGGTAGGCACTGATCAGCAGAGGTTCAGATACTTTTTTTTTCTCATTTTCTAGACATATAGACGAGCTCTACCTGCCGAAGTTTTCCATCTCGAGGGACTATGACCTGGAAGACGTACTTCTCCAGCTGGGCATTAAGGAAGTCTTCACCAGCAAGGCTGACTTGTCAGGAATCACAGGGGCCAGGAACATAGCAGTCTCTCAGGTGAGTCTTTAGACTTGGGTCAATTCATCCTTTGTATCCGAACTTGAATGGTGAAAGCCAAATGGACTTTAGGGTACTCTTTAACTTGGGTTAATGCAAGTGCATTTCTCATTATGCACTCACCCTGTTTGGGACACCCCCAAGCCAAGAAGGGCTAAGTTATAGCCCAGCTCCTATTGCTATGTTAGGGGCTGGTCCTCTACAACATAATGTCACCCAGGCTTGGAATCAGAAAGCCACAGGCACCATTCCACACTACATCATTTACTACCCATGGAGGCAAACAGTTGAAGTCCTCCACCCCCAGCTTTTCATGTGTAAAATGGTAGTGATAGTTCTTGGCCAGTATCCAGAGCCTGGGGACTTACTGTGGAAGCCACAATAAACCACCAAGCGTGAGGGAGTTGCTTCAACACTAACCTGAGGCTGCAGCCCCTGCCCCAACCACTGTCCAGAGGGCCAGACGCCTCTTGGGATTGCCTAGGCAGGTAATGCCAATAGGTAATAACAATGACTATCTAGCAATTGTGATGAAAATAAGCTCAGAGTATGAGAGAAGATTACTTGGGACACTCAGCTTGTGTTACTCAAAGCAGAGGTGCCAAGGCAGGGTGGCCATGCAGCCCTTCGCTCTTGTCTGCCCTCTGTGCTCACACAGCACTGGGTTGAGAGCTGCACTCCACCTTTCAAACAGCAAAGTAACAGAACGGCGTGTGTAGAGGAGCAGACCCATATGGTTTAGGAATTCAAGGCCATGAAAAGTACTTGAAAATCCCAAAGATGTTTAAGCTAGAGCAGCAGAGATGCTGAAAGCCATGCTGGCCTGGCCGAGGAGGTTTCTGCAGCAGCTTCTTGTGGTCAAGAGCTGCCAGGATGTTGCTTGGAAGAAAAATACTTTACATTGCTCTTGCTCTTCCTCCCAAGAGTAGTGGCTGTTTTGGGGGCAACAGACTCTCAACTCGGACAGAAAGGGATGCATATGAGTTGCTCCATCCTTTACCTCGATGGCTCTGGGCAAATCACACACAGCATCTGGGTCTCCATGTGCATATCTAGGCATCGGTACTGTGCAAAACTAGTTGGCAGGGGAGTTGAGAAGAGCAAACATTCAACAGCACAAAGACAGGCCAGTGCTCGGTGCTCAATGCACATTAGTCCCCTTAGCGGCACACAGCCAGGTTGCTGACTTCCTGCCCATCTGTGTCTCCCGTGAGTAATGTTCTGCTCTCCCCACAGGTGGTCCACAAGGCTGTGCTTGATGTGTCTGAGGAGGGCACAGAAGCATCTGCTGCCACAGGAGTCAAAATCACCCTCCTTTCTGCATTCGTGGACCCAAAGATCACTGTGCGTTTCAACAGGCCCTTCCTGATGATCATCGTCCCTATGGACACCCAGAACATCTTCTTCATAAGCAAAGTCATCAATCCCAAGCAAGCCTAGAGCTTGCCATCAAGCAGTGGGGCTCTCAGTAGGGAGCCTGGAATGGAAGCTGGATGCTCGGGTCTCTGGGCACAGTCTGACCCCTGTGCACCGAGTGGCCAGGGCATGTCTGGCCCTGTCTGCTCATCCTTGGAAGGTGACAGCAACTGCCTGTGTAGCTCCCACATGCACAAGGGCCCGTGGACTCTTCACTCTGGAGGGTCCTGGGTCTCCCGATAGCAATAAACAGTTTCCTTGGACACGTTGCTTGTGCTTTTCCATGCTGACTGCCAGACTCTGTACCTCTGAGGCTACTTGTGCCCCAAAGCCAAGCCCCCTGACCTCCCATGCAGGCTCAGCTCCACCCCAGAATCTGGGCTGCTTCTGCCTTCAGCTGCAGCAGCCTGCCCAGAACCACCTAAGCTTGTGACTGAGCTCACCCAGACCTCAGGCCCAGGGCTGGGAGGGGAACCTGCTGCTGTAAGGCTAATTCCTGCCTCCCGGGCTTCTGGGTGCCCACTTTCAGTTTCCCTCTTTCCACCCGCAGGGCCTAGGCTCCACCTGGCTCTTTCAAGAGCTCCTAGCCCTGACCACATCTAGCACAGCCCCCGGACCCCTCGCTCCTACAGCTGGGCAGGGCTTTATCATGGGACGTCCCTCTTCTGCCCTTTAGCACCCCTAATTTGGGGGAAGTAGCTACTTTCTGGGTTTCCAGACTGAGCCCCTCAACTGCTTCACCAGTTCCTAGCCCTGGCTGTGTGAATGATCTCCCTCAACAACCCGAGTGCAGAGCTGAGGACAAATGAACCATCAGCGCACAACTGCAATAAAAGCAATCATGTAGTCAGGCATTTAACCGAGGCTCTCAGGCACCTTGCAATCTCTATCACAAAGTCTATAATGATAATGTCGACAGCAGCTGAATACTTGAGGTTTTGATGCCAGACAATTTGCTGAGGTCTCTCCCTGAAGTAACCCATTGAATCCTCCTGATGTCCCTACAAGATAAATGCTCTCAGCAGTCCCATTCCATGGACGAGGAAACTGAGGCACAGAGAGGCTTAGTAATTTTCCCAAGGCCATGTAACTAGTAATTATCACCTGTAGAATGTTAGCCTATCATTCCTGACACCAGAGGCGCCCTCTTAACCACAAAGTGATTTCCATAGGGATTGCCTTCATGGAATGTACAACTTGATGGCAAATAGACGGTGAAACAAGTCTGTGGAAGCTGAGGGAGAGCACCAAATTCAGTTTGGGAAGTCAAGAGAAGGCTTCTTGGAGGAGCCAACTTCTGTGCTGAGGTCAGGGAAAGAGAAGGTGGTCAAGTGAACACAGGGGACAACACTTCAGATGCGAAAAAGAGCAATGGTAGCATTCAAGAAACCAAAAGAAATTGGGTGGCTCTGGGGCAAAGAGCAGAGAGGCTGAGGGGCTACAGGGAGGAAGGGGCCATGACAGAGCCGCTGGGCTGCAGAGGGGCTGGCCACTGGCAAGGATTCCCAAGTGTTTCCTTAGGGCCACAGGGAGCTTTAAAGGAGTTTAAACTCAGATGTGATGGAAGCAGCTTTGCACACTAGAAAAGTACCCTGCCTGCTGAGTAGAAAAATGATTCATCACCCAGGACAAGGATGTGGGTTGGACATCGAGGGGTCTCTGTGGGAACTGGGGCAAAATAGGTGAGAGCTGGGGAGGGAGAGCAGGGATGATTCTGTTGAAAGCCTTTGAGGAGAATGGGTGTGAATTTATGATTGCAGGTGGGGTGGAAGGGAGAATCACTGTATTTGGGTTTGGGCCCCTGGGTGATCCCCAGTTCTCTGAATAGGAAACCCAGCAAGGGCTTGCTGGCAAGGGAAGTCGATACATTCAGATTTGGACCTCCTATGTCTGAGGTTCCTGGGAGACACCCCAGGAGCTTGTTCAGGAAGCAGCAAGGCTGAAGTCAGGAGAGAAATCTGGGCTGGAGGGAAGCGTTCAGGATCCTCCCCAGGGATGGGCAAGTGAGTATTGAGGGTGTCCCCTCAAATGAGTGCCACGGAGTGAAAAGAAAAGGGGAACCTCAAGGACTGGCTAAGAAAGGACAACCCACCAAGGAGAGTCACCAGTGTGGGGCAGGAGACAAGGGGACAGGGAGAAAGCTGTTGCCACAGGACCAAGAGGAGAGACTTATCCAGGGGAGAGGGGAGAAAACCTAGAGACAAATGATGAATGAATGGAATGAATGGGTCTATGGGATTTAGTGATCTAAAACCACTCAGGATCACAAATGCAATGTTAGCAGAATTAAGGGAGGACCACAGTGGGATGGAGAGTGAGCAGGAGAGGGAGAGAGGGAAGGCAAGACAGACTGGCCTTTAGGGAAGGAGAGAGAGAGGGTGGTGGGTAGTGAGTGCTAGGCTGAAGTTAGCTGCAGTGCTTGACAGATGTGAGAGCCTTGAGCAAGCTTGCATAACCATAGAAAGGATTCAGGAGGCAGGGTGACAAGCAACCAGGGTTGCAGAGTGGCACAACTCCTCAGGTTACAATTCACAGGTGGTTTGGCACCATCCTAAGGTTACGGTTCACAGGTGGTTTGACATTGCCTTCAACTCGGAGTTGCAGAATGAGCAGTCGGCCAGGCTGCATGAAGCATTCCTAGAGAGGGCACAGGTGGAGGGCAAGGATCAAGGGTCAAGGCTTCCACTGTCACGGGAATGCAGGGAGGGCCTGGCGAGGGTGCTGGTGAGGGTGTGTGTTTATTGGGAGGATCAGGTGACCTCCTCTCCTCCAATGACTCTGATGATTTCTAGTATAGGAGGCAAAGTCACCTGCTTAGTGATATTTGCCAGAGGTAGGGGCAGAAAAAGGAACAAAATGGGACAGAGAGTGGACCAGGGTGTCACGGCAAGTCAGCCAGGCTCACTGATAAGCGCCTTGGAGGTCCAGCTCCAGGAATTCTTGGTGGTTCCAGACTTTACAGACAGTTGTGGAATCCCCCATCTGGTGGAATATTTCTCCATTCTTACCAGTCCCACTGTGGGCTTCAAGAAGGCCAAGTGCTGATCAGAAGGACAGGAGTCAAGGGGGCTGGAGGTATAGACTAGAGAAGGGTTGACGTCATGGACTTGAGATCAGCACTGGGGGGTACAGATGAGGGCAGAGGGAGTTGATCACTGGGGAAGACTGAGGATGGGGAGATGGGGTGCCTAGGAGGTCCAAGAATGACCTGTGAGAAGTGCCATATGAACTATAAAAGCTACTTTTTCCCCTGAAGAGGATGTTTTCGCATTGACTCTCAGTTTTCTCACCTGTAAAGTGAAAACCATGATAGAGTGTGTATGTCTGTGTGCATCCATGTGTAAGAAGTCAGCAAGTCACTGAAATGCTTGCTCTGGAGTCTGAACGTTCCTTTGACAGCAATTTAAAAACTCCTGAGATGATCTTTTCCATGTGAACTAACTCCTCATCCAGGCCGGCATGGCTTCTCGTCCCTTGACTGGAGCCAGATGACATAGCATTGGACAAGGCTCTGACCTGCCCAACTCCTGTCCCCAGTCCCTCCTGGCCTCAGTCCAGGTGTCTAAGGAGCCTTACCACAGCCCAGGGTTCATTCCCTTCTGTGACTTAGGTCTGGAAATTGCTGGCTGAAAACTGAGTTCCTCCCCTAAGGGAGCATCTGGGCCCCAGATCTGTGAGTGTGGGGCTTAGTTTCATTCTTCTCCCTCCCCTGGGAGCTGAGGGCACAGCCACCTGCTGATCACTAACTATTGCCCTTAAATGGCTTCCTGACACTAGCTGCAGGGACAAGCCAGCCCCTGTCCTGACTTATTACCTCCCTCACTAACCAGAAGCTAAGTCCAAGCCTGAGAGGCACTGACACCAATAAAAGACACCTACTCACTCTCTCATTCAGCCCATGCAAATTGCCAACCCTCCAAGTGCAGGCCCTGAGCTGGCCCTGGGGTTTCCGAAGTAAAGAAAGTGGACCTGAAATTTGCCCTCATAGAATGTTCAATTTATCGAACAAGACAGAAAACTGAACATGGGTGTGACAGCAGCCCTGAGTAGTGGGGTACAGGATGTCCGGAGAGGGCAGGAATCAACTCCAGACTAGAAGAGTCAAGTTTGGTCTCCTAGAAGAACTGTCCTCAAATGCAAAATCCTGTACAGTGAAGAGGAGACACCAGGGAGACGTACCAGCAGAAAAGGAGAGGGAGTGTGGTGTGGTCATGGAGCTAGAAGAAGATCCTATGGTCTGGATGACCGATGTTTGAGGGAACCATGGTCATCTGTGGAGCTAAAGAGAAAAACATGAACAAGAACATGCCTTGGAAACCATGTTAAGGATCTCAGAGTTTATTCAAAGAGTGGTGAGCCACAGTGAATATTATACACAGGGAGGCGTTTTGATTAGATTTCACTAAGATCACCCTGGCTGAGCAGGGAAGAATGGATAGGGTATTCAGTATGGACTTGGTGAAAAGAAGAGAACACAATGACCAAGAGTTTCAGCTTTGCTAGGAATTGGGAGAGGACAGAGAGGAAAGGAGACTAATTGGAGAGATATTTATTGGACAGAATTGAGGAGACTTCATGGTTGATTGTGTGGGGGACAGAAAGGAAGCAAAGACGGCACCCAAGTTGCTGGGTTGGGAACTTGGGGAACTGAAATCCACATACCATTCTATGAGCTAAGGATTATGAATAACATTTTGTGCAGGAAGAAGATAAATCCTGATGTGGACATGTGGAGTTGGAGATGCCTGGATGCCATCTAAGAAGAGAAGTCCAATAGAGAATGGGCTCTATGGATCTGAAGTTCAGTAGGGAAATTTGGGCAGGAGGGATGGAATTCAGGATTTCTTATCAAAAATGTGAGGACACTCCTGCCAAATGACTTCTAATTTTCCCTGTGCCATAGAAGGAGATGTTATCTGCTGAGTCCATCATGGGGAAGCAAAAAACCCAGAAGTCTGGAGGAGGGGAGACGAGGACACATCAGGAAACCTCGATGTTCTAGCAGGCACTAATAAGGGTCCCGTGGGGTCTGGAGACCACTGTTTCACTAACCTGTACAGGTGTGTGGTTCCAGGTATACTCGGCAGTTCAGACATAGACAAAAAGGGGACAGACTGCAAGTGGTTACTGGAGCCAAAATTTCCCCCGGCTACAGGACAGAGGGACCATGAGTGGCTGACATAAGGAAAAATGAGTATATCTGAAAATATTGACCAGAGAGTCATTCAAGTGATGGAATTTTCATATTCCAGGCCGGGGACATCAAGG